AATTTTTTTCAACACCCAAATATAATTTCTAAGAATGGAAAATATAATTAAAATTTTAAAAATCAATGTGTGAATTCAAGAGCACATTAGATGTAACTGAAGAGAACTAGAAGATGGTGCTGAAGATTTAACGCAGGAGGGAGGCAAAGCTAAGGGGTTGCAGACCTAGAGTACAAGTGAGAAGGACTGAAGTGCTTGTATTTGGTTAACAGAACAGAAGAATGCAGGAAGAGTAAGATCGGAGGAGATAACGGTTGGAAATATGTTACAAAACTAAAAGAAGAAAATTACCCTCAGATAGAGGAACTCCAAAGAATCCCAAAGAGGATAAACAAAAAGTTATGTTCCTTTGTACATCACGGGGCAAAATGACGACTCTAAAAGCAGGCAGAGAGAAAAGACCAAGTGTGACTTTCAAATGTAGTAATAGAAAATGAATGGAATGAGAAATATACTTCACAAATCCAGAAAGAAGGAAAGAAAATGAAAACTTTTTAAATAGAACAAATAGAATATAAAAGATAAAGTGCTAATTTTACTGATAATTTTTTTTAATTAAAAAAACATTTTTTATTTTTTGGTACCGGGGATCGAACTCGGGACTTTGCGCTTGCTAGGCAAGCAGCAGAACCACTGAGCTAAATCCCCAGCCCCAAAGTGCTAATTTTAAATACAAGTATATCAGTAATTACACTGAATATAAATATACAAAATATTCCAATAGAAAGACAATACTTATCAGAACAGACAAAAACAAAGCCTAGCTGTTTATTGTAGAGGGGAGCCACATCTGCAGTAGAAAGCCTGGGGATACAGCTGGTGGTAGAGCACTGGCCTAGCAGGCATAAGGCCCTGAGTTCAATCTCCAGCACTTCTATATAGTAGTACTAGCAGTAGTATGAGTAATAGTAGCAGCAGTTGTTGTAATAATGTACAAAGATAATGAAAGGCTGAAAGTAAAGGACAGAAGAGAATATTCCAGGAAAACAGCAAGAAGAGCCTGATTATAGATATTTTGAAGTGAAAAAATTAAGGCCTTAAAGCACTGCGAGAGATGAAGAGGATCCGAAGAGGATCCCGGAGGCTGGGGGTGTACCTCAGAGCAGAAAACCTGCCGAGCACACATGAGGTCCTGGGCTCTATCCCAATCACTGCAAAGTAAACCAAAACTAAAGCCGGGTGTGGTGGTGCGCACCTGTAATCCCAGCTCTCAGGCGGAGAGAGGGGGATCGCAAGTTCAAGGCCAGTCTGGGCATACTAACAACTTAGTGAGACCCTGTCTCAGAATAAAAAATGAAAATGGCTGGGGATGAAGCTCAGTGTGAAGGCTCCGGGTTTAATCCCAGGTAAGCAAAAAATAAAAACAAGTAACAACAATGGAAGAGGATATGAAAAGGAATTAAGATGTGTTACGTACATATAATAACTTCCCACAAGGAATGCAAACATTATGTATGGCAAAACTAGAATAATGAAAAAGCAAGAGGATCACTAAATAATAATAGATTAAATGCACCAGGAAGATAACTGATACAAATAGTATGTATTCACCAAGGAACATAGCTTCAACAGATACAAAGTAAAAAAGGGCAGCACTGTGAAAAGAAATAGGCAAATTCACGATCACCCAGTGGAACTATTACAAAATTTTAAATAATTTCATTAGAATTGAAATAAAGGCTGAATATAATGAGTTAAACATCCAAAGTAAGAAAAAGAGTAGCAGAACAAGAACATATAAAGTAGAAGAATATAAACAATAAGGAATAATAATAAACAGGAATGAATAAAATGGAAACAAAAATGAAACAGAAAAGATGAACAAAGCCAAATGCTGACTTTTCTGAAAAAGAAAAAAAAGAGACTAAAACTCTTAAGAAAAGTAATAAAGGAAAGAAGAAGAGAAGTAGACATATATCTCAGGAATGGAAAAGGGGATGTAATTCTTGAATCTGTAGAAATTAGAACAATGACAATTTTATTTTGCCAATATATTTGGAAGTTTTAATGGTCAAATTTCTGGAAAAAAAATGCCCAAACCTTCTCAAGTAGAAATAAAAGCTGATGGGACTTATAATAAAGGCATAGAATCAGACTTTGAAGAAGATAACCAGATCCAGGTATTGTACCAGTGGATACTAGTGAATATTTGAGGAACAACAACTACAATTTCATAGGAACTATTCCAGAACACAGAAAAAGTGGGCACCCTTTCGACGCTAAGTTACTCTTGGCCCCAAAACTTGACAAGAATAGTATGGGAAGGGAAAGACCAATTATGAATATAGATGTAAAAGTCCTAAGTGAAAAGTAGCAAACTACATTTAGAGGTATATTAATAAGAGATAACAAACCATAACAATTTGGATTTGCCTAAAAAAAAAAAAAAAAAAAGAGTGCTTCCATTTAAAGAAATTCAGTTTTGGGCTGGGGATTTAGCTCAGTGGTTTCGCCGCCTGCTGTGCAAGTGCAAGGACCCAAGTTCGATCTCCGGCACCAAAAAAAAAAGAAAAGAAAAGAAAAGAAAGAAATTCAGTGTCATTTTGAAAATGAAATCATATGCAACAAACGCAGCTAAACTAAACATAAACATCAGTCCACAAATCAGTGCTGACACAGGAATGAATAAAGTAAAAAAACTTTCAGCAGGTAACACTCCACTAGAATTTTTTTTTTAAAATTAAAGACGATTTATTAGAAGGTGGAGGAAAGGGGCAAGAGGGAGATGACAGACAGCCACTCTGGACGAGTAGGGAGTCTTCAAAACGGAAATAAATATTCCTTCACTAGAAAGTATGTAGTGTACTGAAACATGGTCGGTCACCCAGAATTTTTATATTTTTCTTTGCACAGAGGTTATCGATTCTGAGTATGTTTTTGAAAAGGAAACATTTTAAATCCCACAAATTGACACAGTCAATCACCAATGGACTACGATGTTTTTCAGTAATACCTGACATTTCTTTAACTTAGCACAGTAGAGAAATTGGATGGTTTTGGTATACAACATTACCTCCAACCGAAATGCTGTCACAAATACCTGTGGCAATTTATCTCCTACATGATATTTTTAAAGGCAATAATGCATGGTTATATAAACTCTGGAACTATGTAGTACTTGATATGTATAGAATATACGGTATTAATGCAATCATCTCTTAAAAATTAGCCTATAAATATTGTATAATTTTCTTTGATCAGAAAATGTGGACTAAACAGTGTCACATGGCTTGGGGTTTTCTTTAGTGCCATTTGGCAAATGTACTGTCTCTAGTCTATGCAACTTGCAAAAACTTGTATAATACAACAGAATACAGTTTTTACACTTTTTAAAAATTTTCACACAAAGGGTTTTTCTATTCTGATGGAGCCCTGTCTAGCAAAATTAGTGTGAAAAACCCTAAAGAGATTTTTAAAAAACACAATAAGACAAAAATTTCAGGCAAAAGAGTTGAATCTACAAAGGATAACAAATACTATCCATGGCTCAACTCTCCAAAGTCTGCAGCCTTGAGACGGTCATTTGTGCTTATTTGAGGGGTAGTTGAATAAAATTGGGCAGCTAAAAATAAATAAAATACATAAATTCGGTGAGAATTTGGAGATTACAAAATGTTCTAAGTTTCCTGGACCTAATACTAATGTATTAAGTGAAGGCCCTGACCATTCATGAGGCCTGCGAGGTTGTGCTGCGGTTTGGACAGGTGTGCGTGTGTCTCTGAAGGGGTCCCGCATGAGAGGCTGGGTCTGAGTGGCACGGCAGGGTGGGTAGGACTTTTAAGAGTCGAGTGAGGAAATTCTCGGCTATTTCTCCGGAGAGCGTTAAGTGTAAGCCAGACTCGCCTGGCTCCCGGTCTTTCTCTCCTGGCCTGTAAGCGCGCTCCCACCTGCCACGCCTCAGTGAGACCCTCCCCCGACCTAGGGCCGTGCCCTTGAACCTCTGGGACAGTAACCAGGCAGCAGTGGAAACGGACTGATACAGGTTGGTTTACTGTTTAGGTTTTTAACTTTTAAAAAGTGTAAGAAGGGGGCCGGGGATTTAGTTCAGTGGTTTCGCTGCCTGCTGCAAAAGAGCAAGGACACGAGTTCGATCCCCGGTACCAAAAAAAAAAAAAAAAAAAGGTGTAAGGAGGGCCGGGGATGCAGCTCAGCGGCGCAGTGCCTGCCTAGCAAGAGCGAGGTCTTGAGTTCGATCCCCGGTACCAAAAAAAAAAAAAAAA